GATTCTATTAATTCATTCTCAAAATTCGTGTTCATATATTTAATCCCATATATTAATCCTTCATTAGTAGAGCCTTGTTGTAAATCAAAAGTTTGTTATTTGAAAGTTACATACGTAATTCAATATCTCTTGCATCAGTCTACATATCAAATACCAAAACAAAGTCCTACCTTCATCAATTAGCCTTCAGAGTTCTAGAGTTTCAGGAAAAGGCGCTTGGAGTTTCGACGCTCGAGAACGAGGTTCACTCTTGTTGATCCACACGAAGAGAAAAGTAGCCTAAAGTTCTGAGAAGTGAGGGCATGCACAACCAAACGAGTTCCTTGATGATTTACAAGTTAGGTGGCCATAGTCAACTAAAGTTTAATAGCGTCTAAACTAATTGTACGTTAACTTTTCTAATAGATTTTACTGACAAGTTTGTCTGGAGGTTTTTTATCCAACCAGGGATTTTCCTCTTCTATCATATTCGGTGTTCTTTATTGTTTTTGATCTTTATTTTTCTAATTCCGCATTTTGGTCTAAACAACTATAATTCTCAACAAGTGGTATTAGCTTAGTACATACTTAGAGAATTTTAATTGGTATCAGAGTTTAATTGCGATCCTTGACCCAAATTTATCTAGATGAGTCAATCACATTCTAATAATGGATTTGAGGATGACAGGGATATCTATAAGGCTTTTGATGAATTATTTGAGCGCGCTGAAAAAGTTGAATAACTCTACTTTTAAGAAATTGTATAAACTTGAATTAGAAAATGAGAGTTTAGAAGACAGACAAACATAAGGGGTCTAGTAGTAGATTGAATGAGTTAGGGTTTGACAAAGAGTCCTCAGAAATTAAGGTTAAGACTCTTATAAATTATAATAAAATAAATTCTCATATCGCTTCCTCAACTAAAAATAAGTTTGTACCTGCCTTGATCAAGCCTAAGATACAAAACTTGAAACCTCGAGTTGCTCCTAGGTTTATTCCTTCTTTAACATAAAGTTGTCACCATTGTGAAGAGTCAGGACACATAAGACTAGGTGTCGCAAACTGTTGAATATGATAATAAGGCAAAACATAGGGTTTCTTAACATAAGGTTTAAAATTTGAAACCTAGAATAGTTCCTAAATTCAATCCCACTTTTCACAATTGTGGTGAATTAGGTCACATTAGACCTAGATGCATTAAATCTTTGATTAGAACCAACAAACAAGATCTAACTACTCATGTTAGATTAAGAAATAATCAAGTGAGTCATTGACTGAATTGATGACTCAATTGACTAAGATTACATCTTATTCTAAGAATATTTGGATAAAAAAGAGTGAAATCACATGCCAAAGTGATGTTATTAATTACAGTATAGCTCGCGTTGCTATTCATGATAAGAGTACTTGTTTGCCTCATTAAGTAAGTTATTAGGTGTATGCATATGCATTATTCATGATGTTTACATATTCATACACATTCTCTAACCTTTTTCCTTATTTTATTTGTTTTGCATTTTGTTTATTATTACGAAAAATAAACATTAGAAAATATGAAAACGAAAAAAAATGAAAAAGCGAAAAGTATTTTTGATATTTATATTTTTGACATGTTATTTTGTGATCAAGTACTAGTATATTTTATGAATAGTAAATAAAGTTTTCATTAACTTTATTTAGAATTTATTTGATGTATTTGGTATACGTTATTACACGTACCATTTACACTGTACACTACATATTAAACTTTTATGAGTGATTTTTGATCACATCTGTGAGACTTGGGAGACAGTCATTTGTATGGTGGGTTGACTTTGAATATGGAATGACCTAAACTCTAATATACTCCCCATAAAAGAAAAAAATTTGAACTTCGAAAGAACATATATTATGCATTTATTCATAGCCTTTTTTACTCCAACAATTGGGTATCTTAAAATCTGGTGCCCTATATTTATTTGATGTGGGAGTCATTGACCTAAAACTTGTTACATATGTCATTAAGAAAGCTTAATGAAAATTAGCTTGCACATGAGATTCGAAAAAAAAAAAGAATTTTTTTTTAGATATATGTACTTATTGATAAGGGGAGAAATAAAAGCTATACATTGAAAATTAATAATGAACTTTTTATTTAAGAGGTTCTAGTAACACTTGGTTTGTCTTCATAATATGAAAAATATATTCATTCACCAGTAATTCTTTGCATGTCCTTTCACACTGATTTAACATTTTGAGACTTGCTTACATGAATTTAGTGATACTTTTCACACATGAATAACTTATACAATTTACTTCAATATATTTAAAATAAGTTATGTGGGAACAGTTTACTTTTTATGAATTATACTTGTATAAGTAAGCAAATATTTTTTTTTTTTTTTTTCACTCATTCCTCCATGTTGTTCATGGTTATAATAATAATATTATTATTATTAGTTATTTGTGAGAAAAATGGAGTAGTATATATTTCAGAGAGTTAGGGGGAGAAATTTTTGATATTTGACTTTGGGGGAGAAGTTGAGTAATATGAATGTTTGATTTAACAAAATTTTCCATATTGATATTATGTTTGATTTAGTGTTTTGTTTAATGTCGACATTATGTTTTGAGTTGTTAGTTTTACTTTATTACTCATTAATTTCTTTTTGCTCTTCATGCGACATTGTTATTTTCATGTGTTTCAGGAAATAAGAATGGCAAGATTTGTTGTTAGGTTGGCTTGATTTTGACTTTGAAATAAATGATTTTGTCACGGAATGTCAAATGTGGAGTTTGTTAGGTCTCTATTTGTGATGTGCTATTACTTAGACAAAACTAAATATATAAATGAGTTCTAAAAGTCAGAGTCAATGGAGAGGTTGTATAGGTCGACTAGGAGTCATAGGGTTTGAGTATGAAGTAAGGAGAAAAAGTTGCTGCATTAATGCTAATCAATACCAAGACAATGCTTGAGCCCCCAATTCAAAGAGGTTTTTGCTAGCCTGGCGTTAGGTATTGCGTTCGAGCGTCATCCGACGCTAGCCTGGTGTTGGGATTCACTCGAGCATCAGCTACTTACAGCAGAAACCCTAGTTTGCGTAAAACACTTATTTTTCAATCTCATACGCTACCCATTATAAATATACAACCCATGAAACATCCAAAGGTGTGTTGAACTATTATATTTCCTTATAGATCTCATTGTTGAAGATCACGAGCACATTTCATTGATTCAATCTCAAAATCTTTGTTCATATATTTGATCCCATATATAGATCCTTCATTAGTAGATCGTTATTGTAAGTCAAGAGTTTGTTCTGTAAAAGCTAGATACATATTCCAATATCTTTTATACCAGTCTACAGATCAAAACACATAGAGACCAAACACATAAACAAAATCCTACCTTCCCCAATTAGCTTTCAGAGTTCTAGAGTTTTGGAATGAGTCGCTTGGAGTTCCGACCCTCGAGAACAAGGTTTGTTCTTGTTGATGCACAAGGAAAGAAAATTAGCTCAGAGTTTTAAGAAGTTTGGGTGTGCACAATCAAATGAGCTCCTTGATAGTTTATAAGTTAGGTGGCTAGAGTTGGCTATAATTTAATAGTGTTTGGACTAATTGTAAGTTAAATTTTTTAGTGGCTTTTACTAACAAGTTTGGCGGAGATTTTTTTTTTATCCAAATTGAAATTTTCCTTCGTGATCATATTTGGTGTTCTTTATTGCTTTTGATTTTTATTTATTTTATTTGATTGACACATAAATTAAATTTGATTAATTACCTTGATCATCTAGAAACCAATTAATATGTGACTTGTTGCTTTTAATTGTTGTAACTCCAGGTCTAAATAACTATAATTTCCAACAAGTGGTACTAGTTCAATACGTACATACGAAATTTCAATTATTGTTCTAATACGTACGGTATATATATTAGTCATTTAATTTAAAAGTTATTCTATATTTGATGAGTAGTTATCTAATACGGCATAAATTAGCCATTTAGCATTGTAGTCGTACTCTATATGATTAGTAGTTATTCAGTACGGTATTTGTCATGAATTTAAGCTTTATCTGTACAATAATTCTTTAGTGCTTACAAATTATATGATACATTAGTGATTGACACAAAATACACTTTATCTTCAAAATCTACCAAACTCTACATTTTCGACTTTTCACGAATAAAGTTTATAGAAGTAAAACTTCCGCAAAATCCTATTAGTTAAACACCATGTCAAATCCCCACAAAATCTTTTACTCCTCTATTTCTTATTGGTTTCTTTTCACATATTTTCCCATTTTCTTAGGTGGAGTGATGTCATCTCCCCTATCCCCTACCAAAATCTCAACATCTCACTATTTGAAATATCAAAATTTGAAGAGAAACAAAATCCACATTAGATGTTACTCTAAATTTTCGTCACCTCAAAATTGTAATGAAGTGTCAAAATTTAATTGGAGAATGAGCTAAATTGGCAGCAAAAATGGAACAACTCATCAAATGGGTGGACCCAAAGAAAAATAAATAGATGCAATATTCTTCAAATTATAGAACCATTTACCAAACTTAATGCAAAAAAGAAAAAAAAAAAGTTGATTTCATTCAAATTTAGCAAGTCACGACATCAAAATTGGTCAACTTGACCGGGCCACCCCAGGCCACCCCACCCCACTATAGTTACAAAGTTGTCTCTCTTCCATCACAGAACAATACTATGAACAAAAGAATATCAACCCAGAAAGCCAAAATCACTTATTTTAATAAGAGAACTACTTATAAGTTATAAATTTTTCATTAACTATTCATAAATAAGTTTGCAAGTACATACGTGCATTTGTTCCAAGTTTTTGGCTTTGTCCATCTGCAGGCGCTAATATTCAACTACCTGTTCTTACATTTGACTAGCCGAAATCTGTTTTTTCTCTGAACTCTTTACATTATTTTTTTGTTCATTAATTTCCTCAAAACATGTTTCAATAATTTCTCCATAAAACTCTTTGAGTTTCGAGAAAAAAGAAGATCAGATTTTGTCAATCATGTCAGAAGAGGAAGCTGACAAATTTTTTCGCTTTGCTTTGTTTAATCTGCTGATCCTCATTACAGGTACTAATCATGTTCTTGATTTACGAAAATTTTTCGGGTTTTTCTTAGATTTTTATTTTTTCACGATTTCCGAGGATGATCCTATGAGTTGACCTGCATTTGTTGTGTCTGAATCACAGGGAAGCTTGCCGTTGGAGACTCATTAGAGACAGACAGGCAGGTATTGCTTCAACTGAGGTCACTTCTGTTGAAACAAAATCCAGTTAATCGAGGAAGATACACAAAATGGAATCCACGGGATGACTCGCCCTGTGACTGGCCAGGGATTATGTGCGATAACCTCGTGAATCGTGTCACCAGGGTCGACCTTTCAGGCTGCAACATGTCGGGCAACATATCGAGTAACTTTTCTGCCTTGACACAACTTTCTTACCTAGACCTGTCGCAAAATACTATTGGACGGATCATACCAGAAGATTTAGGCCGCTGTGTGAACCTTAAATTCTTGAATTTGTCACATAATATTATCACTGGAGAGTTCAACTTGACAGGCCTCAGCAGCCTGGAGATTCTTGATCTATCCCTTAATAGAATTATTGGTCATATTGAACTAGCAATTCCTCAGAATTGTCAAAATTTGAAAGTGGTGAATATTTCTTCAAACAATTTAACTGGTGAAGTTGGAAGCATCTTCGAAAAGTGCTGGAATCTGAAGTATCTAGATCTCAGCACAAATAATTTGGCTGGAGATATATGGCGTGGTTCTGATAGGCTCGAGGAATTTTCAGTGGCGCATAACAATTTCTCTGGCAAAGTTCCCTCGGGAATTTTCACTCGGAATTGTAGTTTACGGAGCTTTGATTTATCAGAAAATCATTTCTTTGGAGAATTTCCTGCAGAAATTTCCAGCTGCAATGATTTGGAAGTTTTAACATTACGGGAGAACAATTTTACAGGGCTAATTCCTAAAGAGATTGGATCACTATCTAGTCTGGTGGCACTTTACTTGGGGAATAACAATTTTACCAGGGAAATTCCAGAGTCTTTTACAAATCTTAGCAACTTGGTTTTTCTTGATTTAAGCAGAAACAACTTTGGAGGAGATATACAAGATATTTTTGGGCGATTGGTGCAGGTGAAATTTCTCTTGTTGCATATGAATTCATACACTGGAGGGCTATATACTTCAAGAATTCTCCAACTGCCTAACATTACTCGGTTGGACTTGAGTTTCAACAATTTCTCTGGTCCATTGCCTGTTGAAATTTCCAGGATGACAAGTTTGAGGTTTCTCGTTCTTGCCTACAATCAATTCACAGGAAATATACCTTCAGAGTATGGAAATCTCAAAGAGCTTCAAGCCCTAGATCTTTCCTTCAATCAGTTAAACGGGTCGATACCACAAAGCTTGGGAAATTTAACGTCACTTTTGTGGTTAATGTTTGCTAATAATTCATTAACAGGTGAAATCCCTGCAGAACTGGGAAATTGCAGCAGCCTTTTGTGGTTGAACCTTGCAAACAATCAACTTTCAGGGAAAATTCCACCTGAATTAACAAACATTGGCAAGAATGTGACTCCTACTTTTCTTAAAAACAGACAAAATGATCGGATCACGGCTGGCTCCGGGGAATGTTTGACAATGATGAGGTGGATACCGGCAGATTATCCCCCGTTTAGCTTTGTATATAAACTCCTTACAAAGAAAAAATGCCGAAGCCTTTGGGACCAGATTCTTAAAGGATATGGTCTATTTTCAGTGTGCTTACCAGGATCAAATATACGGACTCTTCAGATATCCGGCTATGTCCAACTTAGCGGTAATCAGTTATCTGGTGAGGTCCCTCTCGAGATTGGAAACATGCTGAATTTCAGTATGGTGAATTTGGCATGCAATCAATTATATGGTAAATTCCCTCCCGAGATAGGACGATTGCCACTAATAGTCCTTAATGTTTCGCAGAACAATTTTTCTGGCGAAATTCCATGGCAAATTGGCAACCTAAAGTGTTTACAGAACTTGGATTTGTCATATAACAATTTCTCAGGTTCATTTCCTATTAGCTTGAATAACTTGAATGATTTGAGCAAGTTTAATGTCTCCTACAACCGGTATGTTTCTGGCGCAATACCAACAACTGGACAGTTGTCAACGTTTGAGAAATGGTCGTTCCTTGGGGATCCACTTTTACGTCTTCCTTCTTTCATTAATAACACAACTAACGACAATTCAGGAAACAAGAATGGAAAGGCTAAAAGGACTACAAAACTAGGTGCTACTCTAGTGGTTCTCGTTTTGATACTCGCTTTTTTAGTATGTGGGCTTATGTCTCTTATAGTCTGCATATTGGTGAAAAGTCCAATAGACACACCGGGATATCTACTGAAGGACTTGAAGGCTCAGCTAGAATTTGCATTGAGCTCGGGTGCATCTTCACCCTGGTTATCAGGCACTGTTAAAGTTATCCGATTGGACAGAACAACCTTCACACATGATGACATTTTGAAGGCTACTTGGAGCTTTTCGGAGGACAGAATTATTGGCAGAGGAGGATCGGGAACAGTTTATCGAGGAGTCTTGCCTGATGGCAGGCAAGTGGCAGTGAAGAAACTACAAAGAGAGGGACTTGAAGGGGAAAGAGAATTCCGGGCTGAAATGGAGGTATTAAGTGGGAATGGATTAGGTTGGCCTCATCCGAACCTTGTGAAACTCTATGGATGGTGCCTTGATGGATCAGAAAAACTTTTGGTTTATGAGTATATGGAAGGTGGGAGTTTAGAGGATCTTATTACTGACAGAATACACCTCAATTGGAGAAGGCGTATCGATGTGGCAGTAGATGTAGCACGTGCCCTAGTCTACCTACACCATGAATGCTTCCCGAGTATAGTCCATAGGGACGTCAAGGCTAGCAATGTACTTCTCGACAAGACAGGAAAAGCCTGTGTTACGGATTTTGGACTTGCACGGGTGGTGGATGCTGGAGGCAGTCATGTCAGTACAATGGTTGCTGGAACAATTGGTTACGTTGCACCAGAATACGGTCAGACATGGCAAGCCACAACAAAAGGGGACGTTTACAGCTATGGGGTGTTAACAATGGAACTTGCAACCGGGAGACGGGCTGTGGATGGTGGTGAGGAATGTTTAGTCGAATGGGGGAAAAGGGTTATGGGAGATGGACGACAAGGTTTTGCTAGCAATGTAATCCCCGGAGCTCTACTGGTATCTGGCCTAGCAGAGGGCGCAAAGTATATGTGTGAATTACTTCGTATTGGAATATTGTGCACGGCAGAGAGCCCTCATTCTAGGCCTAATATGAAAGAGGTTTTAGCCGTGTTAATAAGGATTTCAGGCAGCCAAATGGATTGTTCTTCAGAAAAGTGTCAATAATTTCATTAGCAGATAAGTTTTTACTCAAACATGTATAAAAATATCGTGATCCTCGGTTAAGATTCTTTCTGTAATTAGACAGACAAATTTACATTCTTAAACAAATCAAATTTTTTTGATGAACCTTTCCCCTCTGTATCTTATCATCCAGCAAACAGATACTTGGTGAAAATGTCCAATGAAATACAATTTTGGTAGAAGTCAGATGTCTTGTTCCGTCCGGTCTAAACCAACGTATCAAATGTCTTTATTATCTTTGTTTCACATTTGCTTCAATTTCAACTCTTGTAAAAAGGAAACCATTAAAATTAAAGCTTTTCTAACACAGAATTTAAAGCAATTTTCTCTTCAACTATAGCATTGAATTTTACATCGGATAATTTAAATTACCCAGTAAAGTATTTAACTTCGAACAGGGGCGGAGCAAGACCTTCAGTGTTGTGGGATCAAAATTTAAAATGCAATACTCGTGTTACCACCTTTAATGTTCAAATGGTACAAGATTCCGTATTAGAAAAGAAGAAACGAAGATCTAAAATATTCTCCAGCAATATTCCCCATATACCAGTTGTTCTCAAGTGGTCCTGTTCCTCGTACCACAATGTTTCCCAACTCTGGTCTGCTTTTACTAAAATTCCTCTAAATTATATCCAGTTCATGAAATCATCAAAGTTATACACATTTGTCAACCAGTCAAAGCCGGAAGAGTTGAACACAGAGGGTGACATAATCCATGACAGCACAATGAACCAACTTGAGATGGTCATGGCAATGTAAAGAAAGGTATTTGTAGACGAGGGATTTTGAGAAGTGTTACTCCCCATTTGGATGAGAAACTGCTGATTTAAGATTGCACCCAGGGCTTCATTGTTGGTGGAATTGGCACTGTTTTGGATATTTCCCTCTACACCACTGAGGGCAATATAGAAATATCAGAGTCTCACATTAGCTGGTGCTATTAACACGATCCACTTAATAAGGTGATAGCAATCCTTTTCTAACAATTCGATTTTATTAGGTTAAGTTAGACCAAATATTATTTCTAATATGGTATCAGAGCATACCCAATTTTACAATGATGAGTGCATCCAATATCGATTTGTTCACAGTTGTTTGACATGATCCACGCTGTGTGTGAGGGGGCGTATTAGAGTCCCACATTGGTTGATAATATTTACATGATCTACTTAATAAGATGAGGGCAATCCTCCCCTAATAAGCCGATTTTGTTATGTTGAGTTATGCCCAATATCCTTTCTAATAAGAAACGTCCCCAAAGATATGCGTAGACCATGATCACGACCATGAGGGAAAAAAAAAGTTCAAAATCAAAATTTTTTGTGGCATCACTTGATCCCGCCCATGACTTTGAACTAAGGTAGAGCAAGAAAGTCCTAACTCCTAACTTAATTGAACAAATTAAAGTTAGTTTTTAAGCTCAGGCTAGAAGAGTCCATTTTGAAGACGTCCATTGAAATGTGAGATTCGACATAGCCTGGGGGTACCAACTGTTTTTTAAACATTGCAATTAAAATGTGACACACAACAAATTTTATGGCAATATTTAAAAACGAAAGGCAAAAACAGTTAAAAGACCATAAAATGCTTTTGGTGTTTTTGTATTCTCAATTAGTACACAAAGTTTCTCTCATATTCTCAATCTTTAACATTCAAAATTCTCCCAGATGTCTCCATTTGATCATAAATCGCCATCGATTATATCAAAATACTAACGACTGTGCAAAGATAAAAAATCTGCGCGCGAAGATAACTTTCTTTATTCGATTGGAACTCATTTAAAAACCAATTTGGACATAATTTTCAACCAATTTTCTACTTCTAAAAATATCTAACAGCAGAATACATATTAGAAACTTCTCGTATACATCTCATACTCTAATATTCATTAATTATTATCATCAAATGAGGAAAATTCATAATTTTTGTGAGAGAATTGAATTTGACTTGCAAGAATTTAATCAAGTAATGATTCAAATTTGATTTTGGGTAAAGAAGAGGAGGCGCAAATAGAGATTCATCAAGAAACCATTAAAGAGATTCAAAATTTCAAGATTCATCTTCATTTTTTCAATTTCTTAAAAATTTGGATTATGTCTTTTCACTTAAATATGATTTCTTATAATTTCGATATGCTGGCTAGTTTTATACATTACTAGTATGAGATGAACCCTTGTTATGATATTTTTTGTTTTTAATTAATTATTTTGACTTCAATTTGATTTGATTTGTGGATGTTTATTATCGTTTCTAAATAGATTTTATTATTTTCGAGAGAAACAATAGGTTTAAGCACAATATAATAAATATTCTAA